ATACCAAAGCCTCGTGACGCACGTGAATGACGCAGCGTATTGTTTTCGCTTGCTCCCAGTGGTCCAACAATGATGACGTAAAATTAACCTTTTGCGCGGTTGGTTTTGTTTTTCTCTGTTCTTCCAAATGTATTACGTATTTTTAAAATTAAATTTTGGGAAAATCGCTTAAAGTTTAGGAAACGTTGCATTCTGCCATTAAGCTGGGCAATAGGGGAACAGATCAGTTCGGCTTCAAAGAAATTTGGACAAATTTGCTTTAACAGAAAACTTTTTTTTTTTAAAAGTAATTCACGTGCATTTCCCTTTAATTAATAGAATGACATTTCAGCTGTGTGTCTAAAGGACTATGAACACACACGCCTTGTGTGCCTCTGCTTTGCCCTGTGATGGACTAGTGACCTGTCAGGGCTGTACCCCACCTCTAGTCCATGGATCTTCCCCGTGACCCTGCATGGACAAGTGGGTATGGAATGAATTACTTCAGCAAGAAAAGAAAAAATAAATAAATTAACTTATTGAACAAATTCTTGACAGCTACTTCATTCTCATTGCTCATGTCATTTGGATGAGACAAAACTTCTTTTGGCATTTTTTATTTTCCTTTCTGGTATTTTATATTAGCTGATTTTTTTGTACTTCCCATTTCTGTGCAAAAATGTATAATTATTTAACATGCAGTTTAAGATGTGTAAAATGATTCCTACACTTTATTTTTTTTCCATATATTATTAATATTACAGCCATGATCTCTATACAGCTGGTGCAGCTATTCTGTGGCAATATCAGAGGTTTGCCAGAAAACATTAGTGAATAAACAGCTTCATTAAGAGACCCTCATATTTTTTCTTCCCCTTCACATTTTCCACCGTGCTTTGTATTGTTTCTAAAATTCCATTAAGCATATTGGAGGTTGTGGTTGTAATGTGGCAAAGTATGGAAACAGATGCAAGATATTTGTATTGCATGGCAACATGCTATAAACAAACAGTAATTTTTCTTTGTTGCATTTTGCTTTTCATATGTGAAGAATAAAGTGTGGAAAATAACATTTATTGCCATTTTAAAATAATATTCTTCCAGATAAATGTTCAGCAATTGCGTCTGTTTTCAAACAAATCCAAACTAATATAATTATATGACTGGCAAATGCAGTTATTGTTTTTGTCTTCTGTTTCTTAAAAGCTGTACATCTGTAAAGTAAAATAAAAATCAAGTTTTGCACATGTTCTAGGTATCATTAGACTGTTCTACAAAAAAAAAGAAAAAAAACTTGAGAATAGAACGCTGCAAATAAATATGAAGAGAAATTATGTGTGGTCCACATCCACACATTTATAACACACAAAAGTCAATGAAGTCTTTTATTTTGAAAATCCGACTGGGCTGATTTTACAACCTGTTCAGAGTTGAAGCAAAAGATCACACACAACCTGTAATTCTATGCAAGGATGTAGACGAGCTTTACTTTAAGCAGATGTGTCAGGAAGTTATGACAATGAGGTGACACTTTCAGATGGTAAGCACTGTGGTCTCACTTCACAACCCTCTTATTTAGCAGCCATGTTTCACATTGACATAATCTGCATGTGGAATTGCTGTTTTTGTACAACCCTAAGCTGTCCAACCAAACTCACCCTTCTGATGAAAGTAAAATGCTTGTGGTTTAACACTTGTTACAACTCGGAGAGGCTTATCTACTGCAAAAAGTGCTACAGACTGGCAGAATGTTCACTTTTCACCTAGATTTTTTTTTTACTTCTTCACATTAACTATCCAACAGCTGGCCATGGTGGAGTTTGCACATAAGCTGCTGTAAATGCATTGCTGTGCATAACCGTTGAAAGGGCACAAATACCCGGATCTCCTTGCAGATTGTGAAGTCATGCCATTTCTGGAATTTGTAGCTGGGAGCATTTCAGGTAGATAAATACTTGTGAAGCAAATGCAGCATGGATGCTTGAATGGCTGATGTGACAACGTCTCCCTTGCTGGCTTTTGCAGGTGCAGTGGGGATTGCAGTGGGACATCCGTTGGACACAGTTAAGGTTACATGCAGCTCTGAAACCTGTTAATGTGTCATCGTGTCTAAATCACGCTCGTGATGGAACAATGTTTTATCTGTAGGTGCGTCTGCAAGCCAAGTCTGTGTATAAAGGGATATTTGACTGTGTCACTAAGACGTACTTGAACGAAGGAGTAGGTGACTCATCCTTTGTTTTGATATTTTCGATGAAGCACAAACCTGTTGCAATTAGGATTATGAGGTTGATGTTAATGTTTTGTATCTTCTCTATCAGTTCCATGGATTCTTCAAGGGCATGTCCTTCCCTGTTTTGACCACTGGCCTCACCAACTCCATTGTCTTTGGCTCCTACAGTAACGCTTTAGATTACCTCTCTCAGTCTGATCGCCGTCTCGCCAGGCACTGCAAACAAGTGTCTTCACTGCAAGTCTTTACTGCGGGTTGCTTTTCAGGCATCGTGCAGGTAAGCTCACTCATCGGCTCATTGGTTTTCACACAAACATCTTCTTACAGAGCCCCAGACGCATTTAAATAGCTGTGATTCTGTTTGAGCTTGAGCTTCAGAATGAAGATTGTTATTTTAAAGAACATAAAGTGTGGAAACAAGCAAAAGCATATTCATTGTGACATGAATTTTAATATGATCAAGGACGTATTTTAAGTAAGAAAGAAGAAGTCAGTGATGTCTTACAGATTTTTTAATTGCTAGAAAGTCTGCCCATCTGGAGTGTGAGTCAAAAAGCAAATGCTTAATCTATTAGATGTTATTTCAACCAAGCCTGCCTTCAGAGAGTGAAAATGTATTAAAGTTGATAAATCATTTATTTAATTCGCCTGCAGATGGCAGCACATGCCCAAAACAGAACAGTAAAGTTTTGGAAAGATGAAGACAAAAAGAACAAAAAGAGAAGTACAAGAAGTGTTTGGCTGGTTTTGGTTTTAATATTTCAATGAGAAACTTTATACTTATGCCATAAAAATGCATTGGTGCTTTGTAGAATTTATCCTTTCAAATAATTACACTAATTTCAATATCACACACAGATATAACCCGATTAAACGCAAAAAGCATTTTTCTCAAAGGAGGATTTCAATAACAAGGGTAGAAGGGTATCCAACCCAATCTAGCCCTGTTTTAAAATATAATTGCCCTTTAAACCAACAGTGATAAAGGTGTGTCAGATAAAATGAATCAAATGTAATTGTTGATTTAACAAGAGGGAAGTTATATTTTCATATTTGTTTGGAAATATCTTCGTCTTAATACACAAAATCATCATTTGAAATGTAAATTTTGTATTCACTTACCACAACTTACTATTTTCTTTTTTGACTGACATTAAAGTTTGTTGGTGATCTGAAGCATTACAGATGCTCATGGGACAGTAAACGACAAAGAGCCAAAAAATACATTCAACAAATCACATCTTCAGTCATTTGAGTGGATTATCCCTTTAAAATCCTTTACTTCCAGGTGCTGGTTTGTGCCCCGATTGATCTGGTGAAGGTGCGCCTGCAGGGACAAACAACGGCCGAGCGGTACCGTGGACCCGTACACTGTGTGGCAGTCATACTCCAGCAGGAGGGGGTCCGGGGTCTCTACAGAGGAGGGGCAGCTCTGGCTCTGAGGGACGTACCGTGCTATGGACTCTATTTCCTGCCTTATGAGCTCATTCGTAAGGCTCTGACTGAGACTGGAGAAGAGCCAGGTCAGGCTAAGCTCACTGACACAAGAAACCATGGCTCAGAGTATGCTAGGATGAAGGCCAAAGTCATCTAATTACTGTTCAATACATCATAATTAAAAAATAAAAATAAAAATTACTTGTAAAGAGTCACACCTATACGGTTCATATTTGCTGCTCACACAACCACAAGAGCAAATGTTGCACAAATAAGACAGTAAACAACCAAGACCAATGCCGGCTTTCAAAAATGACCAAAGAAAAGTAGAAAGTTAGGCCAGAAAGTCTATTATTAAATTACAGGTCAGAGGTTATGTGACTTCTTTGGTGTGTGGGTAGGAGATAGTACTGCAGTACTACTATAATATTGACAATACTTCTTCCACTGGCGGATTATTTAACTTAAAACAATAGATTTTTCCTTGTTAAGAGTGAGATAATCTGCCATTGGAATTAGTACTTTTTCATCCATATTAAGAAAGTATTCATGTTAAACAACTCGTATATCTTGCTGAACAGATACTTGCAAGTTAGTTTTGTATTATTTCAACTGCACTAAGATATTTGCACTAGACAGACCAAAAGTACTTGGTAAGATTTTGTGTTTTTGAAATGCACACAAAGCAACGACCCAACAGAATTTCACACTAAACTTTCTATACTTTTGTTTGAACAAAATTTAGAAATTTCCCTTCCACTTCACATTTAGGCGCTATTAACTTTTATTTTTTTTACTTCTTCCTACTCCTTTTCAAGCACGTTAAGATTATTGTGGTACAAAAATATGTATTTTGCATTCCTTGTTTATATCTGTTATTTTATACTGCGATCATTTTCGAAATAATTGAATAAATAAATCAAATAAATTGTGTTAGTCTATCACGTCAGATGAAAAACCTTTTAACTTAATGGTGGTGATGTGATGAAATGTTGAAAATTGCATTTATGGTGATTTAATTTTAAAACACCCGACCATCAAAGATCTCCATGGTATCCAAAGAGAATGCTAATGTCTCCTACGTCTTCAGGTACCTTTGCCATACTGATGGCGGGGGGCGTGGCAGGCGTGGTGACCTGGGCGTGTGCCACGCCCATGGACGTTGTGAAAGCTCGGCTCCAGATGTCCGGAGCTGGTGGTCAGCAGTACAGCGGGGTCCTGCACTGCATAAAGGTGAGCCTGAAGGAGGAAGGAGTCAGAGTCTTCTTCAAAGGCCTCCTGCTGAACAGCGTCAGGGCGTTCCCCGTCAACGCCGTGACCTTCCTGACCTACGAGAGCCTGCTGAAGAGCTTCTGTCCACCAGGCAAATAACAAAACTGTTTGCAGTAAATGAACGCCAAAGGACGCGAGAAAGTTAATGCTACATCTGATATCTGTTTGCAAATTTCTTTGCAATTTCTTTGTACGCAGATCAAGGCTAAAACAGCCAAAGTTTGTCTTAATGTGAGAAAATGTATGCTCTGATAAACGATACACAAAGCTAAGCAGCTTAGCTATCCCTAAATACCTCAGTAACACAACAGAGAAACCAATATTTTTATTGTAGAAACTTTTCCATGTTGCAGATGTGCAAATACGCTTATTTTCAACATTAAAACCTATTATTACCTAACGGTTTTATTAATGGTTAAGTATTATAAAAAGTCAAACGAACCCGTCACAGCAAAAGTAGCAAACACCCTTCATCCCAAAGTATGTGCACTGTACAAATCAGGGGCATAATCATCACAGATACTTTACAGACATGACTGGACTCGGTGTTTCATTTATTGTCCTTAATTTCTTCATGTGTAGAACCATATAAAACGTCTTTTAGATTCACATACATGAATTATTTGGCTTTTCCAAGTCCTTTGGTAGCTACAAATGTGAACCTTTAAAAATTTATGTTGTATCCACACATCTACCTCTAAGATGCTACAGGTCTCCACTCTTCTTGCAGATTTGGGTGATCTGTTAGGCCAGTCCTAATCCCAGAACATTTGAAATGTTTTGAATTATTCTGCTGGTTTGCTTATAGTAAGTGCAGTGAGTGTTGTTATCTGACCCTGAAGGTTTTATTACAAGCTGTCAAGATCCAAATTTATGTGTTTAACTAGTTTTAGGCTTTCAAAGCCGACGAGATTTGCCTTGAAGCAGGTCATCAATGTGAAACGTGTTTTTTCTCCACACAACTTTCAAATACACTTTATGCTGTATGTACTGTAATTCTCTAAAATAATGAAGAACTGTATTAAAAGGGTCACTTTTATTAGTGTTTTTTTTTCCTTGAAAATATCAGAGAATTCTTTTGGTGTGTTGTGCATATATGTGTTCAGATTATATGTCAGGCAGCATTTTTACTTATTAAAGTCTGTGTTGGCTTGTTTGCAAACTCTTACCATAGTTCTATAGATTTTAAATAAAGATTAAGTTACTCAGGTCATATAATCAACCATAGAGCACAAAATATGATTCTGTGCTCCCATTTGCGTTTTATTTAATGGAATAATTGCATTTAATTCCCATGACAGAATGACAAAATTCTTTTTTTTATTATGCTCGAAACTTTGTGCAACTATCAACATCCCACATAAGAAAATGTAGTCATTATCCTTTTGAAAAGGTTTGCCTTTCTTTGTGTCAAAACCTAAAATAGGAGTAGAGTTGTTGCTCTTTAAAAATAACAGATTTTCTGTAGTAGATATTTGTCAAAGAAGGTCTTTTTTTTCCCAAAAGGTCAGGTAATATTTGTGGCTCTAGACCTGTTTTATTTACCTCGACTGAGGGCAGAAAATGGCTCCTTGGATTGTAAAGGTTGAAGACGGTCAGGACTTGCAGACCAAATGAATGACTTAGACAACCTGCTGCAGGGAGGAAAACGTTTATTTTTCTGTAGTGAACAGCATATCGATAAACTCTCACAGATAGATTTGCATCCTTAGTTTGGAAAACCTCAGACATACAGCTTATGGTTGGTTGTTTTCACCTTCTTTATTTAAAACAGATTTAAGTTAGAAGATAACAAAAACATCCACGTCTGTTTATGTGCACAAACTTGAAAACGGTCAAACCGCAAACAAAAAGCAACAACGCAAAGCGCAGGCTGAACGTTGAGAAAATGTTTATGTTCGATTCGTTCAGCTCTTGCTGTAAATCTGATCACAAAGGAAAAGATAAAGCTGCACCTTTTGGCACAAAACTTCATGAAAGAGTAGAAGAAGAATAGAGATGATGACTGATAACCGGTGTGTCATAAGACCCTCTGCTGTGTACACAAACTCCAGCCAACATGACTGTGGTCACAAAGTCCTTTTTTTTTATGCAGAAACAAAAAACAAACATTTACATGACAGAAGCATTCCTAGAATGCAAATCATGGCTTTCTAATATTTCACATTTTCCTACAAATGTGTCAAGCCAAACAACAACAACCAAAATTCAGGCACCAAAGACTCTTTCACATATTTATAACCTTCAGTGAGTTTTTAACGATGCACTGGACGACGCAGTACGGACTGCCGAGACAGTTTAAAAGCTGCAGCTCTGACACGTTTAGCAACGTCTCTACCACAGAATAAAGAACCAAGCAGCACTTCCCTGAGCTTCTCATGTTGACCGCTTTAAAAAAATAAAATAAAAGACACAAAACGAGGACGTTTAAAGGGCTCATGAGGTTAAAACGGGTGGTAAAGAAATACTGTTTGTCTCGTATCAACAGGAATGCAGAGGGGTTTAATCTAACAGATGACCCCGTTCAACTTTGCCTCCATGAAGGCCGTGTTTATCTGGAATATGTGGCATTCAATCCTCACTTCACCTGTGAGGGTTCAAAGTCCTGGTCCCGCAGGAGTGATCTGCTGTTCTGCTCGGCCACCATGGCCTGCAGAGTCTCCCTCTGGATCTGCCGGGCCTTGTTGTACAGGAGGACGCCGATGAAGACGACGACGGTGCCGGTGGCGCTGAGCAGGGTGATCTGGTTGCTGAACACGATGACGCTCAGCCAAACCGACAGGGCGTGCTTCACCGTGCTGGCGACACTGAGGACGAGGGAAGAGTCGTTGCTGCTGGGTTTTTAAATCTCAAGCACACCTTCAGAATTGTTCCTCGTCGACTTTACACTGTAAAACCATACCTACATTTCCATGTCATATTTGTGCCTCTGCAGGGTGTCTGCAGGACTCAGCAAGTCAAATTTAAGACATTTTAATGCCGCCTCGAATTAAATTTAAGACAAGAGGAAAAAAAACCTTAGGGCTCGTCGAAGGAACTTGCTGAATTACAATCAATATCTGACCACACTTCTCTTCTTTCTCAGCTGCCATGTGGATGGCCAGATCTGTACAATCAGATAAAATTTTATGTCTGAATATACCACAGTTTGAGCTGCGGTGTGCCGAGTGAAGATCAGCAATAAAAGAGGTTCTGCGGCGCTGATGTTCACCGCAGATATGAGCGCAACAGCAAAGGATCAGCATATTACATCTCTGATTTCTGCTGACTCACGGCAAACAGGTCAAATTCAAACCAAGCAAGTTACTTTAAACAAGTTTCCTTACTTTGCTTCAAGGATCTTTCAACCATTTAAAACACATTTCTGAAAACTTCATATGAGAATTAGCACCAACATCTGCTTTTTTTCTCTGCACACTTTTACGCAGCGTTTTATTACGAGTGATAAGACTATAAGGCTTCTAAAAGGAAATAATGTGTCTTATTTTCACTGCAACACTTTTTACGCAATTTAATTTGGCATCTGCTGTTAGCTATTCTTAGAATTGTATTTATTTCCTCCTATGTTTTCATCGCAGGTTTCACTCAAACTTGAAGGAATAATCACAGCGATCAATCTGACAGCCTTCACAGGTGCCGGTTAGTTTTTCCTTTTCTCAACAAACCAGCAAAACCAATCCCCCTCTTTTTTTTTTTTTTTTTTTACTCTGTTAAAATAAGAGTGGGTTATTAGGACTAAACTGTGGTGAACATTAGGAGGGAGTACATGTGACCACACACAACACGTTATCTCAGGATTAATCCCAACTTCACCTGGACTTTGTTGCGCTGGAGATAACAGCGAACACGTTCAATAGCTCACCTCTGGAAAGCTCACCTGATAAAGTCTGTTGTGAAATGTTGAAATAGGTCCAGGAAGATAAATTAAAGCAAATTAAAATGGTTCCCAGTAAGCCTGTCATAATAAGCAATACATCAATTAATTGCAATGTAAATGAAAATGAGCGAGATCGTTTCTGGTTGGACAACAGTCGCTAAAGAGATGCTCCCCTTACATGACGTTGAAAAGCCACCATTTTGAGAAACTCTGCAAACATTTGTCTCCCAGTATGAAGCATTTAGTTTGTACTATCCGCCGCTTTTGCCTGTTTTTGCCCTAAGAATTATTGTTTTTCTAAAATGTAATTTTGGCTACAGAGACTTCATAATTTGTTTTAATGATTGTTTTGTTAGTTCATTTTTGAGAGCTAAAGTGTCAAGTGTCAACCCTTTCATGCATGAATTATGATCCTTTGTGTCAGGATTTTTTTTTTTATTTTCTTAAGGCATAAAAAAATATTTTATTTTAAGTGATCAATTGTAATTTTCTCCAAATACAAAGTTGTTATTTGAAAAATGCATCAGTACCGTAGTATTGTTCTTTAGGGATTATCTGTCGGTTGGGATGATTTTTTTGTCTGTCAGCCATATTGGATTTAACAAAAAAATAACTTGTTGCATTTGCAGCTGATGGCCAGTAGTTGATAGTGTATTTTATGATGCATTAGTGTCCACTTCAGTGCATTTATAACATAAAAATCCACAAGAAGCACAAGAAAATGGCTTTTAGACAGCTGTCCACTGTAGTGACCACTATGCATGAAAGGGTTAATAAGCCATTATTACTATTTCTACAAGAAAAAAGTCTTAAAATGACAATAATATTGTTTATCCCAATCATTTCTGGGACAATTTTGGCTCAACAAAATTTGTCATCATGACAGCCCTCGTTCCCGGTGAGAGTTTGTGGATTGGTGCTACCTGAAAGTGACGGGGGAAATCCGTCCCATCAGGGCGTAGGCCGTGACACTCTGTAGGTGAAACAGACCGCCGTCAAAAAGCAGCAACAGGATAACATCCTGATTGAACAAGAAGCTCTGTCCACTCTTTCCAGCTGCCGGGACGTCCTGGAAACATGGAGACAAGAGTCATTAATTATTCCATCTGTACTTTTTCAGTCTTATCAGTCATCAATGGAGCACTTTGACCTCAGCGAACAGAGCTGGGCTGATACATCGCCCAGCACCCTGTACCATATCATGTTTTCAGATGTTGTCACTTTATAATCAAAACCTTCAATGAGATTTTATCTGAGCAATTTTGCGGTACAAGCTACAAACGATGTTCACATGATGTGTGGCAAGCATTTCAATTTGTTTTAATAGAATTTTAATGGGACTACGGCCTCTAAAGATATTTAATTAGCTGCATCGACAATTCAGATGAAAATAAATAAGGGAATGTGTGTTTACTCACCAGGAGGAACACCCAGGCAGGGATCAGCATAATGACTGCTGCTGCGCTGGTGTAAAACTGCAGTTCCGGGGGGCTACGAGAACGGCAACAATGATTTAGAGAGTCTTTAAAACACAATGTTAAAAATGAGGTGATCTTTAATTCTTCTACCTAAATCTGTACGTGTCCCCACTCAGCAGTTTCTTGGAGAAAACGTTCTGCAGGCTGGGATAGAGAAATAAGCGGTTAGTCAAAGTGTTCACAGTTGAGAAGCGGCTGCGTGGAGCTAGCGCTGGGGCAGAGACCAGTCCATGATGTTAGTGGAGAGCGCGGCGCAGAAGCCGAGCATGTTGAAGCTGATCTCCGACGCCGTGCAGAGGGCCAGGCCAGCCATGACAGGAAACAGGGACAGGTTTACCCAGAGGCCTGAAGATGGGAAAACAAATAAATGAGTCACCGCTCAGGTTATCTGCAGGTTTCAGCAAGTCAGATTTAAGACTTTTTAAAGCCCCTTTTAATGCCACATTGAATCAAAGACAAAATATACATATGTAAATAAAGGAGATGGCTGGGAAATCCAAAAGAGTAGCAACTGTAACATTTCTGGGGTCTGTTTGTGGCTCATCACACTGAATATGGCTCTCTACAGCCTAAACTCCCCAGAGTGTCATAATTAAAAGTTTCTTTTTCTGTTTTTTTTTTGTTTTTGTTTTTTTTGTACTGAATATACTCAGCCTCGCGGAAACAAACGTCGTCCAGCCAGCTGGTAATAAATGTGCAATTACTCATGATGTGCGCAAAAAAGCCAGCTAACTAACTAGCAAGGGTACATTAGCAGGTAGTTAGCATTAGCCTAACCTGCCTCCAGTCACAGAATGCAGTGAATGAAGAGGTCTCACATTTTTGCCCGACAGAAAACTACATACACAAGATTAATTAGTACCGACTCATCTTTGACGTATTTAAACTTGAATTTTTTTATTAATGCAAGACATTTTAAGGCCTCCATTTTAGGTACATTAATTTAAAATTTTGAATTACAGGATGTGCAGACACCTCCACTGCTACTTTCAGGATGAAACCTGATTTCTCTTAGGCAATGGCCTGGCATAGAGAGACACTTCTACTTCAGTGAGCATCCTGAAGTTATTCTGAGTCGCTATCGCTTACTGTGATCAAAGCTGCTGTAGAGCTTCAAGATTCCACTTTATTTACAATTTGCTCAGCTGTCTATCAAAGGCTCTCCTGCAGATAAGGGATGTCAATATATATATATGTCAACGTGACTTTGCACATCCCTCAGGTTGAGTGGCCTAACAAATGAAATCTGATGTCATTCTGATTATGAAAGGAGCAATCCCTTAGCCAAATAGAAAACAAAGCCTGATTTACTACAGTAAGAACATGTTTGTTCACCTGTGTATTCTCCAAGGATCAACCTGGACATGATCACAGTAAAAATGGGCGCCGAGCTCTTCACCGTTTCAGCGAATGACACCGCCACGTTCTTCAGACTCACCAAACCCAGAACCACGGTGGTGAACCTAACCAGAGCACAGACAATGCAGCTGAGTGATGACTAATTTGCATTTCTGAAGATTGTATCGGTAATGTAATGACGCTCTCGTCTGGTTTTGCAATTCCAAAGCAGGTAGTCGATATTTGCATATGAACACCTTCATATGTTCAAGTGTTCACGTGGCTCAATGACAAAGGCGAGCACCTCATTAGTCCAACAAAGAGCATGATCATGATGAAGTTGGATGGATATTCAGATCTGGACTTGTGCTGGTAGAGGCAGCAGGGAATGAACATCTTCAGGCA